TGTATCCTGTGCTACTAATTGGCAAATCCAGTAGCACCTTAGATGGCTGCTCATGAACTTTTAAGGTCCTGGATGCTACTTACCAAGGTAGGATGTAGAGCATTGTCCTTGTGGACTCTGTGATGCCAATCAGCCATGGTCTTCCCTGAGACTAGCTCCCAGGCCGAGAAATCCATGGATGTAAATAAAATGTTTGATAATATCTAAGAAATTTTCATCATTTTGCCTGCTGTATGCGCCACCACATTCATAGTTGTATTTGCAGGAAAGGTAAATGGTTGTTGGTAGGTGCCATCAGTCAGTACCGACTCATAGCATCTCTATGCACAACAGAATGAAGCATTGCCTGGTCCTGCTTGGTTGGTTGGAAATGAATTCCACGTTGCTAACGTCATATATGAAATGGGCTTGGTACTTCCTCTGGTGAGTGCATTTTTGTGCACTCCTCACACCCAACTCTCCTGTATTACATGTATCCTGTGCTACTAATTGGCAAATCCAGGTGCAGGATTACCAGTCCTGGGTTTCCAGAGTCCCCATGCAATCCTGGCTTACCTGTGTTCTCACAGGAATCCACATTATCCTAGGGACCCAGGCATGTCTTAGCTGAAATGCAGAATGGAAGGTTTTCTGTGCTTTAGGTACATTCTGGACTTTTCTAGAACGGGAAGAGAAAGGGTGCTGAGACATCTTGGTTGTCTCATTTCATTGAGGAGGAGCATAGCCCTGCCACCTAGCATGAGCCTCAGGAGCTGGTGCTTGAAATAAGCTGGGCTTTCAGGCTCCCATCTGCACATACCCTACACCATGTACCTGTTAGCTCCCTCTTCTACGTAACTTTCTTATTAATAGGGATATGTTCAGTTACAAGTAACAGATACCTAACGTGGTAGTGGTTTCAGTGAGCAGGAAGGTTCTTTCTTATGTGCACTTTCCAGCGTAGGCACTTTGTAGCTGGGGTGGCAGATCTTATCCAGTCCCGATTCATCTAGTCTGCTCCTCGTCTATGGTCTTCATCCTCATGGACCAAGATGGTAAGTAGAGATCCAGCTGTTATGCCTATATCCCCAGTAATGGCATGCAGAAAGCAAGAACAGTTTATGTCTTTAATGAGTGTAGAAACTGTCACTTGAAATTTCCTCTCATTTCTCACTGGCTACATCTGGAAGCAAAGGAGACTGGGAAGTATAGTTTGCACTCTAGGTGGCCATGTACCTAGGTAAAGATTAGGGGTTATATTGTCTCGAGGTGGAAAAGGTTCCTGGCAGCCAACTGAGTCTTCACAGCCATCTTTCTGCAGCTTCCCTGTACTTGACAGAGACGTTCCACATGAACTCTTCAGGGGACCTCTGCTCTAACTCTAGGTCTGGGCTGCCCAGTCTCTCCCCATTTCCCTCTCCTGCCAGATGTTCCTTGTCTAGCTGCCATAGGCCTTGAACAGTTAGTGTCTTTCTGCATCTCCAGTTCCTCCTTGGCTGCTAGTTAGCCTGTCAGAATTCCACGTTGTGCAGGGAGGTTGAGGTGATGGGAACACCAACCAAGACCCTAAGCCTCCTCCAGTCTTGTGTATGGCGACGGAGGGTAGGACTCTCTGTGAGCACAGCTCCAGGGGTTGTGAAAAGAGTGGACCTTTTTTTTTTTTTTTTTTTTTCTTTTTTTGAATTGAATGAAGGTTTACTGACAAGATCATCAGTTTTACATTCAACAAACAACACACTTTGTTTCATCTCCTCCCTGCAACAACAGATATGCCGCTTTCTCCCTGTGGTTCCTATTTCCATTCCACCCAGCTTTCCATCCCTTCTCAACTGTGTCCTTAGGTCCACGTTGCCCTGTTGATTTTGAATGATTGATCATTCCCTCATTCATGGTGAGCATACCTTTCTAGTGGTGTTGTTCCCCCTGTATACCTGTTGACTGCTTGACTGAAAGTTGGCCCACGAGGGTGAGTTCCTTTCCAGACCTAAAGGGTGATCAAGGGCCATAGTCTCAGGTTCCTCCTCTCTCTTTCTGACCAGTAAGTCCTGTCTTTTAAAAAAAATAATTTTGACTTTTGTTCCTTATATTCTGCCACCCTATGCAGGACCTCCTAATGCAATCCCTTTGGTAGTGGTAGCTAGGCACCACCTAGTTCTTTAGTACGCAGGGTCATGGAGACTGATATGCACATGGCCCATTAGTATGTTGGGATAATTGATTCCAAGTATCTTCAGTTCCCATCACTCTTCTTTCTTCTGCACTTAGACAGACCAGTAGCTGCACCTTAGGTGGTCTCTCATAAACTTTTAATATCCCGGACGCTTCTCACTGAAGTAGGCTGTAGTTATGCCAGTTGACCATGGCTTCCCCTGAGACTATGGCCTTGAGCCCCCAGGCCCAGCTACTCATCGCCTTAAGATGTTTGATAATGTCGAAGAAGTTTTCATCATTTTGCCCACTGTATGTGTTTGCAGGAAAGTTACATACCCATGTACCAATTTCCAAAAAAGGGGCATTTTACGAATAATGGCAGAAACAGCAGCAATGAGATGGGGTACTAAGTGCATGGCAGAGTTCTGTTTGGTTCATTTGGGTTCGGAATTTGAGGATTTGTAGGTAGAAATAGGTATTGGGTGGAGAGGAAGAACCCTAACAAGGACCGCCATTGTTCATTGAGACTGGAACCCATAGTGAGTTAGGAGAATCATGTTTTCCTGATTTGCCTGTCACAACAGCCTTCTGAACACTTTGGGATTGCGGTCATCATTTCAGAGGGCATGGAGTTGAACTGGAGCTAAATTCACAGTTCAAAAGTGGCAGAACCAGGATTTGAACCAAGGTGTCTCAAGTGATCGGGTCTTTGCCATTGCACTCGGTGCTACTTAATGTGTCCAGAGCCAGGATTGAAACCCGGGCATCGAATACAAGCAGGTCTTTGCACTGTGCCACTGTGTGTTTTATACCTCCAGACTTCCTCTGATGGATTTCAGGGCAGAGCTGCGGGGCTGCAGGCGACAAAGACCTCTGATGTTTGACCAAGGTGGGGGTGCCCTGTCTGAACTCGACTCACCCATTGTTGTTATTGTTAAGTGCCGTAGAGTCGAGTTCTGACTCATAGTGATTCGGTGGGTCACAGAAATTAGAGTGTGGCTAATTATCTCGTGGCGTCTTGGTGTGGCACCGTGGGTTGATGTGCTAGACTGCAAGGTCGGTTTGAACTGCAAGGTTGGCAGTTCAATCTCACCAGCTGCTCCTTGGTAACCCTATGCAGGATTGCTATGAGTTGGAACCAACTCGATGGCACTTAACAACAACAGTGATCTTGTGAGTCAGAGACAACTTGACGACACTTAACAACAACAATGATCTTATGAGTCGGAACTGACTAGATGGCATGTAACAACAACAATCTGGTAAACTGGCAGTTTTCAGGTATGAGAGTGAAGCCTGCACTTGTTCTAGTAAGTTCTTCTAATTAGAGAGCCTTCCCTGTTTGCCCAGCTGTTTCTGTTTCCCACCTTTTCAGCCATCTTTGACCTTGTGGCAGGAGCAGACTCTGCAGGTATGTCAGGCTGTGGTGTACAGCAATGTGTAGGTGCATGTATGCCCCTGGCTGATGGCTGTTATTGTGTCTTGCCCCCATAAGTACCTGAAAGCCACATTTAGGTACAGACTTACATGAGCTCCCCCCCACCCCCCCACCCCATGGTTCCTCTGTCACACTCAGCCCAGGACAGCAAGGCACAGAGCAGCCCAGCTGTCTACACTGGGCTCTGTGCTTTGCTGTGATGTCCACTGTGTGAATGGCCTCATTTACAGGGTGACGTGGACAGGCAGATTGGTCTTTTTGCAGCATCTTCCTCTGTCAGGGCTGGACAGGTCTGACTTCTGTGTGGAGCTAAGGGGCAGATCACAGGCTCTGGGCGAGCGTCAGGCAGGACTTGCACCGGGGTGTGCAGACTTGACCCCTCAAGGGTGTTACACAGCCCTGGACCTGACTTGCTTCCTCAAAAATTTATATAGAAATAAGTTATCTTGGGAGACTTCCCAAATGTATCAAATGTATATTTCAATGAGGAAAGAAAACATCGACCTTTAGTGCTATTGTTGTTGTTAGGTGACATCGAGTTGGTGTTCTTAGTAATATTAAGTAAAGGGGGCGTCCCTCACAGCTGCCCTCACCTCTGTCACCACTTTGACGATCTGCATGAGTTTCCTCCGCTGCTGTGGGCATCTCAGGCTTGAAAGCCTGTCCTGCATCAGCCTGGCCTTGGTTTGCACGCACATGTGAGAAGGGGCTCCCTGGGCTCCAGGACTTGACCTCATGCTCCCTGGGGTCAGTTCCTGTGTGTGCTTGTGTCAAACTCTGTTCTTTGTTTTCCTTTCCCAGAGCAATGGATAGGGAGGAAGTCACAGAGGGACTGGAGAGGTGGGTTGTCTTCACACTGCGTTTGCAGTAACTCTGTTTTTCAGACTCCCCCAGGACCAGCCAGGACTGAGGACAGGGATGGGTTCCTCAGATGATATGAGAGTTAGGGTCCCCCTCGATTCTGGCTTTGAGGAAACTGAGGTCTTCGAGAGTGTAAAGGAAATCATCCAAGGTTGTACCCATTCTTTTTAAAAACAGAAAGGTTTATTCAATTCTCTTGGTGAACCCAAAACAAAACAAAAGCAGATGACAACAACAAAGTCTAAGAGAAACTGGCACATCTCACCTATCTTGGTAAAACTCTGCTGTCTAAGTAAGAGGCCCCTGTATCTTCCCTCTTTATCAACAAGTCTTTTTTCTGAGGAAGTCTCTGTGGGGGCTATGGTGAGCAGAGTGGGCAGGTGGGGCTCAGTACCTGATTTGGGGAGCATTGTCAGGTTGCCATGGACTTGACTGGGTCATCAGGAGGTGAGGTGGCACCTGATTAGGTCCTGTGGCAATGAGCGTGACAGATGGCCTCAGCTGGTCTGGCCTGCCCAAGAATGGCCAAGGTGCCAGCCTCTGACAGGTGTACTCTTCTCTCCTTGACCAGGAGCGGCTCCTGATGAGTCTCCTGCCCCGAAATGTTGCCATGGAGATGAAGGAGGACTTTCTGAAGCCCCCGGAGAGGATTTTCCACAAGATTTACATCCAGAGACATGACAATGTGAGGTAAGCCTGCGTGAGGCAACTCCCTACAGGGAAGTGGGTGCTGCCAGAGGCCGGCTGGGTGAGGGCTGCAGTGCCTCTGGCTGGTTCCCATTTTCCCAGGTCAGTTCCTGGAGCTTCTTGTATGGGCTGGAGAAAGTCAGCACTCTGTCCCTGGAATCAGGACTGCGCATGGGTATTTGGGGCTATAGATGCATCCATGCCAAATTCATATCTGAGCTCTATTTTCATCGGGACCGGCCTCTGGGCTAGGTATTCTCCTGTTCCTCAGCCTGCTTTTATCATAACTTTTTTAGGAGGTAGGTATTTTTATTCCCATTTTACAGGTGAGAAAACTGAGCCCCCAGAGTGAAGCAGCTTGCTCAAGAGTCTCTGAGATTTACTTATTTGCTTTTAACTTTCTATTAATAAAGAATGTTGTGTTATTATAAATTGAGCATTTCTTTTTTATAAATTAAGGTATAACATACCTAGTACAGATTACTGTTGCTGGTTTAGGAATCATATTTTACATAGATGTGCACTCTTTGCTGGGAGATGGTGATTTTGAGGGACCCCAAGCATTGGACTGCTAACCACAAAGTTGGCATTTCAAAGCCACAAGCCACTCCTCAGAAACCCTATACAGGGTTGTTATGAGTCGGAATGGACTCAACAGCACTTAACAACAACAACAGAACACTGAGCATGTATGTGCACATGCTCGGGAAATACCTTAGGAGGCCGCAAGCATGCACCCACTGGCTGATCTCGATGCTCAGCACAAGTAGGGAGCGAAGGTTAAGGCAGAGTTGTCTCCTCCCTGGCTGAATGTTAAGAACATCCCCTAGTATTCTGAAAAGGCAGGGAGATTTACTGGTTCCAGGCTTTCAAGAGACCACTAAAGTTAACCAATCAGAGAGAGACTTGCGTGGCCCCACCTTATGAAGAATACAGACTTATGAGAATCAGGAAACTCAACTACTGTATTAAGGGGATGCTTTGATTTCAAGAATTGACACATCATGTCATTTTAAATGTCTAGTTTTCAACCAAAAATATGAGATGTGAAAAAACAAAAGCATATGAGAAAGTATGGCCCATACTTTCATAATAAAAAATTAGTGAATAGAAAGTGTGCTTGGGGAAGCCCAGATGTGAGGTTTATTAGCCAAAAATAAATCCGCTATTTTAAATATGTCCAAAAAGCTAAAGGAAACTGTGTAAAAACTAAAGAAAAGCATGAGAGCAATGTCTCATCAAGTGGAGAAGATCTAAAACAATGGTCATAATGACATGGTACAGGGTTTCTGAGACCATAAATCTTTACAGAGACAGACCACCTATCTTCCTGTGGAGCTGCTGGTAGATTCGAACTTTTGACCTTGTGGTTAGCAGCTCAACTCGTAACCACTATGCTACCAGGACTCCTTAGTAAAGAAATAGAGTATAAAGGTACCAAATGGAAATCGTTGAGTTGTAAAGTACAGTAACTAAAATGAAGAGTTCACTAGAGGGTCTCAGCAGCATATTTGAGCAAACAGAAGAAAGAATCAGTGAGCCTGAGGATAGATCAGTTTAGATTGTCTAGTCTAGAAAGAAAAGAATAAAGGAAAATGAAAAGAGCCTTAGAGTTCGGTGGGAAACTGTCCAGTGGACCAATACACACATCAAGGGATTCCTAGAAGGAGAAGGCCTTCTGGTGTGGCGCTGTGGTTTAATGCGTTGGACTGCAAAGTCAGTTTGAACCGCAAGGTTGGTGGTTCAAGCTCACCAGTCACTCCTTGGAAACCTACACAGGTTAGCTATGGGTTGGAACCAACTCGACGACACTTATCAACAACAGAAGGAGAAGAGAGAAAGAGAGTGAGAAATAGGCAGAAAGAATTGTTGAAGAAATAATGGCCAGAAACTTTCTAAATTTGATTAAATATCTTAGTCTTCACATCCAAGAGCTCAATGAATTCCATGTACCACAAACTGAAAGAGATCCACAGAGAACAAGTGGGAAAGGACTCAACACAGACAAACAGTCTTCAGCATAGTTAACAGCTGATGTCTTACAACAAAACGTGTGTGTCAGCGGCAGTGGGATGACATGGTGAGAGTCCTGAAGTAAGACTATCAAGCAAGAAGAAGTCCACGTCCAGAAAGAATCATAGTAGGAGGCCCTGCGGTTTCCTCTGCCGGGAATTCTCTTCTCCCTGTGTTGACACACTTTCTTTCCTCTTTCAGGCCTTGAGTCACCTGACTCATCTGTGCTAAGATGACAGGTGCTCCGTATCCATCTGCCCTGCTTCATTTTTCTCCACATTTCACTTATCACCCTGAAGGAATTCTGAATTTTCTGTATGTGCTCTTTCCCCGCACCCCTTATTCACTGCTAAATCCCTAACCCAAGAACATACAGCCCTCAACAAATATGTCATGGACCATTTAGTGAATGAAGGAGTTGTAGCACTTATAAATTATAGATAATTAAAAACATTTGTTCTAATGTCTCTACACCCCTATGAGAGGCACTATAGGCAGGCCTCGGGTTATGAACAAGTTTCAGTACTAAACCTGTCTTGAAGTCAAATATATGCATAAGTCAAAACAGCTAGATATGCTTAGTCAAATGCTATCTTTTTTGTTGTTAAGTGTCGTTAAGTTGGTTCCGACTCCTAGTGACCCTGTATGGGTTTGAACTGCTGACCTCGTGGGTTGCAGTCCAATGCTTAAGTGTCACACCAATGCTTGTTGTAGTATAGAGTATAGAGTGTACTTTTCTGTGCATAAATAATATTAAAGAAACACTTCCAGATGCCAGATACACTAAAACATCTTTAAAATAATAATATGGTAATCATAATGTTTTGATGTGCGTCACAAAGTAGTACCTGTTTGTTTTTATGAACTATTATTCGTACCTCAAAATGTTTAAATAAAAGGCTTTTTGAGGGTTGGTTTGTAACGACAGGTTGTATTTGTAATCTGGTAACTGCCTGTAGTCTTCTTCCCACCCCCATGGTGAAAGGACTGACAGAGAAGAATTAGGTGAATTGCCCAGGTCGCACCTCTGGAAATGGGTGAGCTGGGCTATGTCACTGGAAACTGGAATCCACACTCTTCCCTCCAGCTCTCTCTGTGGCTTTTCCTGGCAGACGCTGGGTTCTGTCTCCTGGGAGCCTCGTGAGCTGCTGCTCACTGCTCAAATCGTGTGCTCCCCCCTTTTGGGGTCTCTTGTTATTTGGCAGATCTCTAGAGTGTTTCACATCCAGCTTATCTGAATGTGCTATTTATACACCCTTCCAAATCCTCCCTTTTTTCCTTTCTCTTTGCTTCCCTGTATGCGCAATTCCCATGTAGACTTCAGCTTTCACACAGACCTAGCCTCATTAGTGAGGCCTGTTTTTGGCTTTTTCATTACTGTTTCACTGCACTCTACTGAATTGCTTTCCTGTGTGTGCCTTTTGCTGAGTCTCTCTTTCCTGGACTTTGACCCCCGATATGGGAGAGGCACTTCCTAAATGCTGACCTGTGAAGATGGAAGAGCTGGGGTGCTCCAGGGAGCAAGTATTCCCTTATTAAGTGGTGGTCCAGGAGAGCACAAATGGCGGAAGCTTTCCTAGCATGGGTTTATAGCACTAAATGAACCATCAGGAATTAAGAAACCAGTGGATAGAGAAAGGCATTTGGCTAGATTGTTATTTGGAGAGGAAGGGGTGGGGGAGATGAGTTCCCAGAGATGCTAATAAGCCTGATTTTTTTTTTACCAACTAGAAGGAAAGCACTCAGCTTTGCCCTTCATCCCTAATCCGTGTAGGACACTCACCTTCTCTGTGACTTCCCACACCCGTGATTCCCAGACTTCATTCACTGAAGTATTGACTTCATTCATTCATTCATCCGCGGGTCTGTGTGGAACATAGACATTGGAACTGCCCTTACTGTACTGGTGGTTGTGAGGTAGCTGCTAGGGGCTGCCCCTCAATCCCTCACAGTATCCTCTAGGCAGAGCTGCCATGAGGCATGCTGAGAACTGTCACTGAGGCAGCAAAACAGCTCTCTATGCATGGGCAGGCGTGGAGGGTCATTTGAATGGTTGGGGGCCTGGTCAGGGAGAAGCCTGCTCTGAAAATGAAGGTAGGACCCCCACATCCTGCATTACTGAAAATGCAGATCTGAGTTAAGATGTGGCACGGGGTGGGGGGTTGGGTAGCGGGGTGTGTGTGTCATAAAAGCAACATACTGAAATCACACCTCTGTTCATTTAAAGTTACACATTTATGCTTAGAGCTCAGAAAATCTCAGAAAAGTTTGCCATGTGTTCACTGATCTTCCAAGTCTCAGTAACAAGGTTTATGTCTGCAAGTGATGAAAAGTTGGCCTTGCCACAGCTTCAGGAACAAAAGGGCTCACTCTTTCTGTGGGACGAGAGGTGTGGAGGAGGGCGACCTGGGTGCTGAGTAGCTTAGTGATTTGGGCCCGTGTGACCTTTCTCACAGTGGTCAGAGCAGCAACCTAGACAACCACACCTCCTCATTACAACTACAGAGATTCAGATTGCTGGGAGGAGTCTTTGGGAAGACCTCTAGCTTCTCCCAAATCTGTGACTCGGGGAGGTCTCGCCATTTTTTCTCTCTAATGTAAATCCTCAACGCTTTTTGCCTAGTCACTTCTCTCCTACGATGACCCCATGAGTTACAGAGTAGACCTGTGCTCCATATGGTTTTCTTGGCTATTATCCTGCCAGAAACCAGTTCCCAGGCCTTTCTTTTAGGGAGCCACTGGATGGATTATTCAAACTGCCAACCTCTAGGTTACTAGTTGAGTGCATGCTGTTGACGCCATGCAGGCACAACATACCACAAAATAGTCTTTGGAAATGCTGCGCCAAATTAGTCGTTATCTTTTCTACCTCTGTTGAATGCCCTCTGCTAAGTGGTGGTTTTTGTCCCCGCAGCCCCTCTAGAACCATTTGCCATGAAGTTGGTTCTGAGTCAGTGGGACCCCTGTGTGTCAACGTAGGACTATGCCCCATAAAGTTTTCAGTGACTGATGTTTTTTGGAAGTTGATGGTCTTTCTGAAGCAGTTCTGGGTGGACTCCATCCTCTAACCTTAAATCAGTAGTCATGCGTGCTAACTGTTTGCTTCACCTTGGAATCCCTGGACCATGGGTGAAACAAATGGTGAAGGTACTCAGTGACTGACTGAAAATCCTGTGGAACCCAGTTCTACTCTGAAATACATAGGGTGACCATGAGTCAGAGTCGACTCGAAGATAACTGGATAGAACTGGTCTCATCCAGAGGTTGTGTTTCTGTTCCTCTCAGCTTTAATACCTAACACAGTAACGAGCTCAGAGTAGAGCTTTAAGAAACGTGAGTTAATAAACTGATTTGCTCTTCATTAACTTTGTTAAGTGCTGTTGAGTCGGTTCTGACCCATAGTGACTCTGTATAAATAGGGTTTCCGAGGAGCGGCTGACGAGCTTGAACCTTGTGGTTCAAACTGACTTTGCAGTCCAGCGCGTTAACCCACAGCGCCAGACCAGGACTCCAAATGAACTGATCGTGAATTGAAAATGTGAGTCCACAGTGACAAAATCAGAGAGCATATACAAGCTTGCTGTCATGTGCCATTGAGTCAATTCTAACTCATAGGGACCCAGTGTGACAGATTAGAACTACCCCATGGAGTTTCCCAGGCTGTGAGGCGCTGTCCGTTTGTTGTACTGTGGTGGCTTGTGTGTTGCTGGGATGCTGGAAGCTATACCACTAGCGTTTCACATACCAGCAGGGTCATCCATGGTGGCCAGGTGTCAGTGGAGTTTCCAGAGACTAGACTAGGAAGGAGTAGGTGATCCACTTGTAAGGAATTAGTCCCTGAAAACGTGATAAAGAGCAGTGAAACATTGCCTAATACAGGGCCAGAAGATGAGCTCCTCAGGTTGGAAGACACTCAACATACGATTGAAATTAGAGTTAACTTCCTCAAATTAGAGTCAACCTTAATGACGTGAATGGAGCAAAACTTTCGGGACCTTCATTTGCTGATGGGGCATGACTCAAAATTAAGAAGAAACAGCATAGCTAGATTTCAAAGAGACAGCTTAATTGAAATGTTGAATGCACTAAATTTGAATTTAGGAAAGTTGGGAGTCATCAAAATGAAATGGAATACGTAAAGTTCAATATCGTAGGCATTAGTAAACAGAAATGGACAGGGATTGGTTTACTATGCCGGGAAGTAACACATTGAGGAATGATGTTACATGCATCGTTAAAAAGAACATTTCAAGATCTGTCTTGTAATACATTGCTTCTTGTGATTTGAACCTGTACATATACCAAGAGATAAAAAGATAAGTGACCCAACAGAATGTGGAAATTATTGAACAGTATCATCGTTATTATTATATGCAAGTAAAATTTTGCTGAAGATAGTTTTTAAAAGGTTATAGAAGCACATCGACAAGGAACTGCCAGAAACGCAAGTTAGACTCAGAAGAGGACATGAAACAAGGGATGTTATTGCTGGCATCAGATGGTTTTTGACTAAAAGCAGAGAATATCAGAAAGATCTTCACCTGTGTTTTAGTGACTATTCAAAGGCACTTGATTATGTGAACCATAACAAATTATGGATAACTTGGTGAAGAATTGGAATTCAAGAACATTTAATTGTGCTCATGAGGGACCTGTGCATAGACCAAGAGGCCGTCATCTGGACGGAACAGAGGGATGGTGCATGGTTTAAAATCAGGAGAGGTGTGCACTAGGGTGATATCCTTTCGCCATACTTATTTTGTTTGTGTGCTGAGTAAATAATCTGAGAATCTGGACTATATGAAGAAAAACATGGCATCAGAATTGGAAGAAGGCTCATTAACAACCTTTGATAAGCAGATGACAACCTTGCTTGCTGAAAGCGAAGCAGACTTGAGACACTTGCTGAAGAATATCAAGGAATACAGCCTTCAGAGTGGATTACAAGTCAATGTAAAGAAAACGGAAACCCTAACAACTAGACCAATAAACAACACCATAGTAAATGGAGAAAAAAAAGGAAATTGTCAAAAGTTTCATTTTACTTGGATCCACAATAAATGTGCATGGAAGCAGCAGTTAAGAAGGCCAATAAATTATTGCACTGGAAAAATCTGCTGTGTGAAAGAGCAAAGATGTCACTTTGATACCTGACCCAAGCCTTGGTATTTTCGATTGCCTCATGTTCATGTGAAAGCTGAACACTGAATAAGAAAGACCTTAGGAGAACTGGTCCATTTTAATTATGGTATTGATGAAAAATTTTGAAAATTTACCATGGACTTCCAGAACCAACAATTTTGTGTTGAAAGAAGTCCACTCAGAATGCTCCTTCGAAGCGAGGATGGCACGACTTCGTACCACTCATACTTTGAACATGTAGTCAGGAGGGATGAGTCTCTGGTAAAGAAATGGTTGGTGGAATGGAGGGTCAGTGAAGCAGAGAAAGACCCCCAGTGAGATGGGTGGACATGGTGACGGCAACAGTGGTCTCAAACATGACCATTATGCCAATGATGCGGGGCCAGGCAGTGCTTTATGTGGCCGTGCATGGGGCTGCTATGAGCTGGAGCCAACCTAACAGCATCTAACAATACAACAATAATCTTGAAAGAAGCAGATCACCAGGCCTTTTCTTCAGTTGAGCGGTGATGGTTTTGAATTACCAGCCTTTTGGTTAATAGCCTGGCTGTTACCCACAGCACCACCAGGGACCCTTGATTCAAGCCTGTTATTGTTGTTATGAGCTGTGGAGTTGGTTCCGACTATAGCAACCCTGTACAGGGGTTCCAAGGCTGCAAATCTTTATGGGAGCAGAAAGCCTCTTCTTTCTCCCATGGAACAGCTGGTAGTTTCGAACTGCTGACCTTACGGTGCGCAGCCTAATCCATAATCACTATGTTACCAGAGCCGGGGTACCCTCAAAATCCTGTTGCGACTTCCTAACTGAGGACTTTGGACCCATGGGATCACACAGAGCCTTGAGCTTCTAATGCCTGGCCTGGGATTGGCTTCATGCTATCTGCTAGGTTGAGATGGGATGATGAGGGGCAAGCAAGATAAGAAAGATGGGCACGTTCATAGAAATGTCTAGCTAGCCTGGTGTAGCAGGTGACAGAGGGCACCCACTTGGTGATCCCTTTTGTTGTAGGCAAGTATGACCCTTTTTTTATCCCCTTGACTTCATTGTAGACTTTATATAGAGATTGTGGGAGGTGGTCTAGGTTCAGGAAGTCCCAACGTTAGAGAAAGATCCGAGAATACTCTGAAAGGGACTGAATATGATTGGGGATTGGTCTACCACATGTTAAGACGTGCTTTAAAGGTATAGAATTTCAAGGACAAAATCCTATGTTTTTTTTTTTTTTTTTTATTGACTTCTCAAGTGTTCTGTACTGAGGGTGCTTTACTTTTATGAGAAAAGGAAACGATATAAACTACAAAGGCAGAGTTCTTCATAGAGTCTAAGTGTCTCTGAAGAATGGAGTTGTGGACACAGTATTACTTAGGCTAATCCCATAGTCTGTGGAAAATAGAACAGACACGAAGGGTTGCAGTTGAATTTGATTCATGCCAACCCCTTTTGTGTCAGACTAGAGCTGCCTGTGCCCATAGGGTTTTCAGTGGCTGCGATCTGCATTTCCACCAGACACTTCTGGGTGGATTGAAACGTCCCATCTTTTGGTTAGTAGCCAACTGCTTAACTCTTGGTGCCATACTTAAATATGTGTAAGCTTCAAAACAGAGAAGCGTGTTTCCATCCTCAGCACACTGAGGTGGGCAGCCTCCTCCTTACAGTAATGGCAGCACTTAGCCCCTTCCTCTCCATTTGAGGCTCTGTTAAGCCCTACTCAGTGCCTTGCTCCCAGGACCCTCCCTCAGCTGGTGGGCGGGGAAGAAGGTAGCAGAGAGGGGCCCAGACACCTCTTAAAACCAATCATACTGCTCACATGCTGCTGGTCCCCCTCTGACGCAGAGTCACTGGGAAGAGGGAAGCAAGAGACTTCACTGCCAAGTGGGTTGTGGGTCCACAGTGTCTCTGAATGGATCCCATATCTGTTTCCTCTGTGGCCAAGAGGAAGTCTCTGGGCATCTCTGAGCCTCAGTCTTCTCACCTGTAAAATAGAACAATGAACCCTTCATTTCAGCTTGCTTTAAAGGGGTTGTTTATTTTGAGGACATTTGTGGATGGAAACATCTATACTGCTTTACAATAACAATTAGGTGGGTAGTTTCTGTTTGTTGGGGGACAGACCAGCACCCCATTTCTCTCGACAGCATTCTGTTTGCGGACATTGTGGGCTTCACGGGGCTGGCATCCCAGTGCACGGCTCAGGAGCTGGTGAAACTCCTGAATGAGCTCTTCGGGAAGTTTGACGAGCTAGCCACGGTAAGCATAGTGCTTTTATTTATTGGAATTAAATCGGAATTGCTTCTGGAATAATGGTAACCAGGTGGGCTCCATATAGCAGCGTGTGAAGTAGACTGATTGTTGGAGCAGATTTTCCCAGCAGGTAGGTCTCTGAATCACCCATTGCTTTTAGCTGAACCGTTCACTGATTCGCTTCCTTGGACCTGAGTGTATGTTTGTAAGAAAATGAGTGTCAAAGCAGAGTGGACATACCTCTGAATCCCCCAGAGCCTGGGAGCTGGACAGTTGTGCATGGAGGGTGTGGAGGTTCTCGCCCCCCAGGACCTAGCACAGGCATTAGTCCTGAGGCTAACTTTGCTCAGGGGTTCTAAACTCTGCTCTGTGGCCAAAACCTCTTGTCTGGGAGGCTTAGGGGAGTCAACATGTCCCTCGGTGAAAATGGGTAGACACTGCCCTTGGCTCATCCCTGATGGCCCTGGAGGCTCGCCCACTCTCAGACATACCAAAGTATGCAAAGACAAGCAAGTACCCCTCTTCTTCATCTTCCTTGAGTGGTGTCACCACCCTATAGGGAGATAGTTCCTGGGGCCCCAAGAACTCTTTCTGGACCACCTTAGCCCCTAGGGCCATGGCACCTATGCTGTGTTGGGAGGTTGCCTCTGCTTATGATGCAGTGAGGATCCACCCAACAGTGCTCGAGGTAGAGGCGAGGTCTCCGCTCAGCTCTGGGCCTCCCTGGTTGTGGGACCGCAGTGTCTCTTATTTAGAGTGTTCCAGAGTCCTCATCTTGTCTTGAGTGGCGAACAGACTCCCACGTTTTCACCCTCAGGCCCAGTGCTTGGCTCACAGGAATGGACAGGAGCACCCCAACACCAATGCTGCCTGCTGCTTGTCTGTTATTCTAGAACACAGGGGGCTTAACTCAGTCACTCAGGAAACATCTACTTAGCACTTTCTATTTAAAAATGAAGAGATCAACACCAGTAATAATAGCCACGTTATTTGTGTCTTCTTAAAATGGCTAGCCTCTCTACGTGAATTATAAGCCAGCAGCGCTGTATCTGCAATCATGTTAGCCAAGAAGTTCTGAAACCTGAAACTTTTCCGGAAATTCCTGGATTTCAAACCCCATAGCTGTCTAACCTCATGTGAACACCCTGAAGAAATCTTCATGTGTTAGGTTGTAGACGTGGGGTGGTGTTGCCTCGCCCTCTACTGTGGGTCTATATGACATCCATAACATGTAACCTTTACCAAGTCTAAATTCCTTAATTCTGATATCCGTCCTACTCCTGAAATTTCAAATAAAGGATCGTCAACTCTTGCTTACTGAATCCTTCCCACCACCCATTGTTCATATGGGAAATGGAGGCACAGAGAAGCCATATTACTTGCAAAGGTAAAAAGGTTGATGACTGGGTATGGCTGGCATTCTGACTTTCAACTTGCACTCTTAACAAGGGGCCAAAAAGAGCCCTGGTTCATTGGGGGTGATCTTGAAGGGGTTTCAGCAACATGGACATATGATTTCCAGAAAGGCAGAGGGGTTCCTACTGCAGAGAGGTGGCACTGAACTTCAGGTACTTTTGCCAGGGCACTTCAGGCTTCCTGGAGACAGAAACACCAGGCTGAGCCTCGTGTGATGGGTGGAAACTCACTGGGCAGAGATGAAGGATGGGGACCTCACAGGGAGGGGCTTTCCATTCTGGGTCCACTGCAAGGGACCCTGCATGCTGAGACCTCCGAGATGCCAGAGTAGGTGATGGCTGTGTTCGTCCATGGCAGACTACCTACCTGGATTTTAAAGGTCCTCCTGAGACCTGTCCTGTGTGGCATTTGTGCCAGGCCAGGGCACCTCTAATAGCTGCAGCTTCAACTGAGCATGTTGTGTGTGCTAAACTGGGGGCATGTTGAGTGAATCTCTTCATCGCTAATTCTCTGAGAGAAGGATCAGCACGAATGCAGTTCTCACCTTCCCAGTCTCCGTCCTAGCCACCAGCAACTGAAATGCGCACTCTCATCCCCAGTGCCCTGGGTCTAGGTTAGGAAATACCAACTACACACTCGTGCTCGCGTGATTACCTTCACTTCAGACCAGTCGGCCCCTTTTCTCTCTCCTCCCCAGCCACCCAAGTCGGGGAAAGAGCCACCCAAGTCGGGGAAAGAGCACCTTCCGACTGCCCAAGAGGCAGATGCCAGACCTTGCTTGCTCTCACTGGTCCTGTGACACAATTCCATGGCATGGATGAGAGAGTTCAGGGGAGTAGATCAGAACAATTGTCAGAACCAGGAAGGAAGCAGATAAGAGACACAGGTGAGATCTGGGAGGGGTGGTTGCACAGAAGTTCCATGCCTTAGGGGAAGTGCTTACCCTTTTGAAAACAGATGTTCTCGACTCCCACCAGGAGCCTCTGGGCTCTAGGACTTTTATAAGCCAGTCCACATGCTCCTTTGTCAGTACTGAGCAGGCTCCCTAGCCAGATGGGTGCCTCAGGGCCATAGATTATTTAAAGGAAATCCTATAAAGCCAATTTCCCCAAAACAAAGGGGAAAAGCCACTTAAGGAACACAGTGCACTGCATGGAGTCTCACTGAGATCTATAAACAAGGTGAGCCTGCAACACACACTCTTTTATCCTGTAGGGGCCCGGGTTGGGGTCTCAGGAACTATGAGAGTCAAGGTTTTATGTCAACTTGGCTGGGTCTAGATTCTCAGTTTGGCAGTTGTTGTTAAGTGTCGTTGAGTAGGTTCTAACCCAGAGCGACCTTGTATAGGGTGTCCAAGGAGCAACTGGTGAGCTCGAACCACCGACCTTGCAGTTCTAGGTGACTTTGCAATCCTGTGCATTAACCACAGCACCACAGTGTTGTAAATCCCCACGTCTGTGATATTAGTGAGGTCAGGTACAGTCTACAGGTTGTACAGGAGGTTGTATCTTGCGTCAATCTCATTTGAAATATAAAAGAGATCAAATAGGCAGGCAGCTCAGAGCAACCTAGTTACCAGCAAGAAAGAAAGAGCCCAGAGTGGAGTTTGTCCAAAGGAATCCCTGCACAATGAAGCTCCTTGTTGTTAAGTGCTGTTGTGTTGGTTCTGACCCATAACAACCCTGTATAGGGTTCTCAAGGGACAGCTGGTGGTTCAAACCGACTTTGTAGTCCAGTGCATTAGCCCACAATGCCACCCCAGGACTCCATGAAACTCCTCGATTCAGGGAAAGATTGATGCCAAGATACATGAAGATCTTCAAGGAATGCTGGGTCTACAGATGCTGAAAGGAGACCAGAACTGCTCTCCAGAGCCAGCACTCCGACTTTGGAATTCTTACATTCTAATCTATGAGAGAGTGAATTTCTGTTTGTCAAAGGCTCGTGGCATTTCTGTTACAGCCACACTACAGAACTAAGACAGGAACCTCTGACAGGTGGCCTCTCTGGAGTCATGTGACTCATGCTGGCCACATGGACTGGGAGCCTGCCATGGTCCCTCCTACCTGACACTTGGTGGCTTTAGATTGTTTTGGTTGTTAAGAGCAGAGTGACGTTGGGCTGAGGCTTAGAGTGGAGGAGAGTACCCTCTGGGCAATTGTCAGCAACCCTACAAGATCTTTGAACAATTGCCCAGGCAGGGCAGAGGCCAGACCAAGGGCCAGAGAGAGTCCTGTTAGTAGGCATGGCTGGGAAAAGGCTGTCCTGACCTAAGAACTGTTTCCCGAGCACTTCCAATCCTAAATTATAACCTGTTAACTTCCCCAATAAACCCCATGATTGTGAATGTTGTCTCTTGAGTTCTGTGTGGCCATTGTCCTGAATGATCACACCTGGGCTGAGAAGGGCATGCTTTGGAAGGGGTGGCTGGCGGCAGAATCGGTACGAAGGTTAGAGGGTGTAGATCGGTCTAACCTTAGCTCTGGCAGAACTGGCCCTACGCTGATGTTGTTGAGTTTGGTTCTTCTCTCTGGTGAAGTTAGAGGAGGTCAGGCACTCACCCCCGTGCTCCCATGCTCTATTTTACAGCGGGGGATTCAGGTGCACCATAAGAGAGGTGTGAAAGATTATGTGTGACCTATGCAAGTCCTGATGTGGTGCTGTGGGTTAATGTGCTGGACTGCAAAGTTGTTGGAACTGCAAGGTCAGCGGTTCAAGCTTAGCAGCAGCAACTTAAAAACCTTATACAGGGTCGCTATGGGTTGGAACCAATTCGATGGCACTTAACAACTTGCTCAGGTGGCCACACCTACAGCCAGTTTCCCCTCTCACTTAGGCTCCCATGGCTGTTGTGGCGAGATGCCAGAACATGGATGACTCTCCTCCAAGCCAGGGTTGTTGTTGTTAAATGCCGTCGAGTCAGTTGTGAGAGGGCACTATCTCACAGCGCTACACCACAAAGTCGACATTCACCAGCTGCTCCTCAGAGACTCTGTACAGGGTTGCTATGGGTTGGAACTGACTCACTGGCTCTTAACAACGGCACCAGCATATGCCCAGCAGTGAACAGAGGTAGTGGTACCTGTGGGAAGGCCTGTGTGAGATGCTGATGAAGTCGTACAACCAGCCATGAGGGAGGGCTCAGGAGGGCAGGGGTTTCCAGCCAGGACATGGCCACATCGTCGTCTTCTGCTGGCCCACGCCCGATGAACAGTTGCCACTCAGGAAGTGAGTGAAGTCTGGATAGGCTGATGAGTCAGACTTTGAGAATAGGTAGGATTTCCCTGAGTGGGTGCAGAGGTTTGGAAAAAAGGAATTCTACAGGCACAGGAATAGCACACACAAATACAGATTGTAGGGGAAGGTGAGGTATAAGTTCCTGTCTTGATGGCAGAGGGGTTGGGCCAGGGCCTCAGTGAATGTAGAACAGGCAAATGCATACTTGGACCACAGTAGTGCAAGTTCAAGGCCATGGTTGCTACACATTCTGAAGCTGTATAGGCTAGCAGGGTACGAGTGCAGCTCAACCTTGGGGTGGGGTTGGGGACAGAGGAGGCAGATTCAGTAAGTAGGAGGCAGGGAGGCCAGTG